AGAGGCCGCAGGAGCGGCGGCTCTCGGCTGCTCAGCCGGCCGGGAGCGGGGTCGCCTCACGGGCCGGGGCTCGACACCCGCAGCCGGGGGTGCTGGCCACAGCCCTTTCGGGGGCTGCTGCTCCGGGGAGAAGAGCCCTGCAGAGCTCCTTCTGCTGTCGGTGATAGCCCGTACGGTAGCCGAGCAGCAGCTGCGATTTAGGATTTCACACACGATGTTAAATTCTGAATCTTGATCTTAAATTTTAAAAGCATTTGTCATTTATTTTTATTTTTTTTTAAGGAGCGGGTGAAGAAAAAAACATGCAGGCAGACCACACTTTGAAACAGACCTAAAATGCATTTCGCCTCAGAAAGAGCAGACAAGAGGGCTGATAATTAAAAGGACAGCAGACATAGAAGTCTGTCTGAGGAGGATCAGCTCCAGAAGTCAAAATGAGGTCACCTGACAAAGGAATTTTCATGATGCCTTTGGGGAAATAGGCAGGCTGAGTAGCAAGGGAGAGCTACCCACCTGAAGTCTGCATTGAGCAAGGCGTTTCCTCCACTGCCACTCGTATTTAATAGTGGCAGTAGCAAAGCTAATAAAAAAAGCAGGATGTTTGCTTTGAAAGGCAAAGCCTCCAGCTGTCCCAGCCAGGGATGCTGTGCTGGTGCTGCTCCGGGTAGGGCTGCTCAGTCCCCAGCAGCCGAGCAGGGAGGAGGGAAGAAACAAAGCAGTGAGCTGTGGCTGCTAACTGGGTATAATTTTGCCAGAGCCCTGTCTCTCATTATCTGACTGTTTTCTAATGGCTTCTGGGGTTTTCTGTTGGAGTTCTGGGGAACTGTAAGCGTAGTTTTGAAGGCTGTCGCAGGTACATAATCTCAGGAGTTATTTTTCCTAGAAAGCAGAGATAGATTTTGTGGTGGTTGGGTGTTTGTCAGGCAACTAGGGAAACAGAATATTAGAAAGCAGTTTTCAGGGTTTGTAATATCCAACCCCTAAATACCTAAAGTCTGCAGGAAATGAGACAAGTAATTTCATTGCTGTTGAGGAACTGAGAAAATACCCATCTGTTGTGATGATTTGGGTTCTTTGTGCTTTCTGATTTGCAAACAGATACAGTCCTGTACCAATGCTCAGATTTGCAAAGGAACAGGCTCACATTTTTTTTTCTAGGTATTTTGACATCTCTGTGTCTCAACGTCTTAAAAAAAAAAAGTTTGTTTTTTTACTTCACTTTTTGGATTTAATTAAACAGTAAACCATCAACTCTTTTGTTTCCCTCCAGGTTACTTTGATGATAGTGAATAAACAGAGGCTTGTTTTGGCTTGGAGAAAATAGGGTCTGGCCTGAATGTTTGAATTGCTTGATTATAAATGAAAATAAGCTTAAGAATTTCCTGAGCACTCTGTTCTCAGTAGCAGGGTTTCTGGGAAGAGGAACCTTGTCCATTCAGCCAGACTAAGATGATTGTAAAAGGCTATGGATTTTTTAATGACTAGATTTAATCCTCAAATGTATTTTTGCAGTGTACACTTTGTAATGTTTACCAAAAAACTTTGAATTAAAGCAAAACCTTTAATTCTTAAGATTTTCTGTGCAGAAAATACTTGGTGGCTAGATGAGAAACTGAATTTTCAGTATGTAATATTTTCCAGAAAATGCTTCTGGCTTAGTGGCAGAGACTCTGTACAGCCTGAGAAGGAAGGTCTGTGTTTGTGTCACTGTGCAGTTAAAGCTAATTTAAATTGGAAAAATTAAAGCTAATTTAAAGTGGAAAGTGATTATATATTAGAAGTATGAGGTCTGCTTCTGTAGGCAGGCTGTAATACACCAAATAAATCCATCAATTAATAGGAAGGCTCCTTTAATACTATGGGAAAGGCACTGGTTGCAGCCATGCAGCAGAGTTGGGAGTGCCTTGGGGTTATATTCACCTGTTCAAACACTAAGAATGTGTTTTGGATTGGAAGCTTTTCTATGACATGGTGGTTTACAGCACCTCCTGAATTTGTTCTGTTGAGTTCATTAGGTTAAGGTAAGTTTTTCTGTGAACAAGGTGGATGTGAAGCACTTCATTTTTTTGTGTCGCTCCTAAAACTTGAACCATAATGTGTTTTTTTTCCTCTGTTGTCTTAGCTGTAAAGGACCCTACAGCTGTTGAAAGAGCAAATTTGTTGAACATGGCTAAACTGAGTATCAAAGGACTCATTGAATCAGCCTTGAGCTTTGGGCGCACTCTGGATTCTGACTACCCACCTTTGCAGCAGTTCTTTGTTGTCATGGAGCACTGCCTGAAGCATGGCCTGAAAGGTGTGGAAATCGGTCTAGCTGCATATTTCTCATCCCAAACATGCCATTTTTCTTCCTTTCTTTCTGGAAGTAGATTAAAAAAAAATGTAATGTTGCATAAAGAATTGGGGGAAAAAAAAGTAAATGGTCACCTTTTGTAATGAATAGTGTAATTATTAATTATTCCCCACATATATTTCTGAATTTACCGACTTGTCCTTTTGTACAGCATTTGTTTTAAGTGGTTCAGGGTTTGCCAACTGCATGTATATATGTAATGTATATTTTTAGCTGGACATCTTTTTAATATTAATTTTTTCTAGCGTATCAACTTTATATTGACAGAAAAGTAATTTGGAAGTTGGCTTTGGATAGTGATGAGCTGACCAGCATCTCAGTTAAGAGTTATCTGGAGCTCTGGACTCAGCAGTTAACCCTTTCACACTGCAGATATTATGAAGGAAGCTACTGCAATAATTGAAATTAATTCAGTTACTTGATTTTTCTTTTCATAGTAAGAAAATCCTTCCTAAGTTACAATAAAACCATCTGGGGTCCTCTGGAACTTGTGGAGAAATTATATCCAGAAGCTGAGGAAATAGCAGCAAGTGTCAGAGACTTGCCTGGCCTTAAGTAAGTAGCATTGGTAAAATGCAGCAGGAAAATAAAGGACCTGATTGAGAATCTGCAGGTGTCTCATGATTTCATTTGGCATTAATCAAGCCCTTGAACAGCTAGCACATGGTGTTGGGGGAGAGCACAGGTGAACGGGAGGTGGATAACAGCAGTGCAAAGAGGAGCAGCTTGGACATCAGCCACTCTGCAGTCCAGAACTGCAGCAAACATTAATGAGTGCAGTCAGCAAAGGCTGGACCCAACCAAAAGGTGACATCCCTAAGAGGAAAGAATTAGGTAGCTTTTGAGATTTTTGCCTGCTCAGTCCTGCTCAAATGTGAATTTATTCTCCTCCCATTCCACTGCACTCTGCTTTTGTGTTTAGCTTTAAAATTGGCCATACATGAGGTTCCAAAAGGGCTTGGTTACACTGATTGGTGTATGGCAGCAGAAGGGTTCTAATTTATAGCTTTAGACCTTATCTAAAGCATGTAGACATGTAAATTGTTATTTACTCTTGTGGCAGGCCAGAGGCAGTAATAACCTTTGCCAAGTGTGTTATTCACTTCCTATCCTGTCCTAACACAACTTGTGAGGGGTTTTTCATTCATGTGCTTACCACTTGTAAATAAACAAGCCCTGGAAGAGGAAATTCTAAAGGTCCAGGTGTAATTTGCTGGGTATTAGTGTTTGCCAGTTACATATGTCTTCATCTTTTTTTTTTGGCATTGTCTTCCTAAGATAGCACTGAATTTGTGCACAGTTAAAGATAGGATTGAGTTAGTGTTGGGTGGAGCCAGAGAGTGGGATTGGGAAGGGAAGGTGCCATGGTGGCTTGTGGATGGGCATTTGGTTCATTTTCTTGCAATTCCCCTCAAGTCTTAATAAACAAATCGCAGAAAGGAAGCTCAACTGTTGCAAACGTTTTACTTAGCAGAAAACAGGACATTATCAAGATTATCAGGCTCTTGTGCATTCTATACTGCTGTTTTTCCAGGGTCTGCTCCCAAGCTTAGTTGAAAATCTGCCTGTTATCCCAAAGTGTGGAGTCAAAGCCTAAACATTATCGCTTTCCAGATGGTGGTGCTCAACTGATAGTTTAAAATACCCTTTCAGAAACACCAATTCTTCCACCAGAAGACTGATAAGGTATTAAAGATGATGATTTAATCAGCATGTTATTAATTTGGGACTGTTTGCATGCCCTTTGTTTCAGGACACCGCTGGGCCGTGCCCGGGCCTGGTTGCGGCTCGCGCTGATGCAGAAGAAAATGGCAGATTATCTTCGCTGTTTAATCATTCAGAGAGACCTCCTCAGGTACACAATTCCTTAGATTTCGTTTGCAATTTATTTTTAGAGGTTTAGCCTCCTAGCAAACAATCCTGCATTCCCCCACTGTGCAGAATAAGCACAGGAGAGGAGGTGACTTCATCCCTACCGTGTGTGTGGTTTCCACTGAGCTGCTGTTGACAGGAGGGTTCTTGCTCTGAACTTTGCTTTCACAGTTGTAACACTGGCATTGCTCTCTTCTAGCATAACTTCTCGTGTCTGGTGGAGTAATTACAGCACAAATGGAGAAAGATATTTCTTAATTTCAGTTTTATAATCTGTACTTATTTTTGAGACTGGCTTTGTGCCTAGATAACACTGGTATGTCAGGATGTTGTTGATGTTCAGAAGCTTTTCCAGTGAAAAGACAGATTTTTACATAGAATCTAAAATTTTGTTTTAAAAGTTCAAGAAGAAATGCTGATACTCTCTTGTTTATAGTAGTATTTATATTTTAAAAACCCTTTCAGCATTTCAGCCCTTTAAGTTTCTCTTTTATCCATTTAATCTCTTCCTTGGGTCCTTGAATTTCAAGCATGTATTCATTAAATTCTAGGTATTTTTCCCGAAAAGTTACTTCTTTTGCCATTCTCCTTTTGCATTACTTGCAGTGCTTCTTAACAGCTTAAAGAGTTGTCTTACTCAGTGTGGCCAAACATCCACTTCTTGCAGTATCCTCTTCAAAACTGGCTAATAGCCAGTATGGAAGGGCCTTTTCTAGTCTTGTTTTTTGTTTTTTTGGTTTTTTTTTTCTTTTTGTTTTCTTTTAAAGTCAAAGTAAATCTTGTCACTCTCCCCACAGTGTCCCAGCCATCTGGAGCCTAAGGCAGTATCTTTGTCTTTTAATAGCCTCTGAGACAAACCATGCACTTTAATTTTTAATGCACTTGGAATTTTTAAGTATTTATGAGGTGAAAGTATGGGCAGGCTCCGTTCATCTTTAGGGATGTTGTAGTAACAACAATAAGAGAAAATTTAGGTGTATAAGTCACTTATGATTTATTTATTGGATGTATCTATAATGAATACAGCAGTAAGATGCAGTTTTGTGCTTCGACACAGTGAGTTTTATGAGTATCATGCACTCATGATGGAGGAAGAAGGAGCAGTTATTGTTGGGCTCTTAGTTGGGCTAAATGTGATCGATGCCAACCTGTGTGTGAAGGGAGAGGACCTGGATTCACAAGTAAGTCCCTGCAGGTAAAGGAATGTAGATGCAATCTGTGAGATATTTCTGTCCTTTTGTTTGTGAACTTTGCTGCTTTGGAGTGGTGACTTGTTAGAAATCCTACTAGAGACTGTTGAGGATGTGATGATCCAGATCCTGGAGCTGTGGGGCCGTTGTCTTGACCTCATTATCAGCAAGGTCAGACCTTTAAATGAAGATAATGGTCAGAGTGCAAGGGTGAAGTTTTGTGCTTTGTCCTCAAATGGGAGCAGCTGTAGCAAGGCAGAGTTTTTCCATCTGACTTGTGTGACCCATCCTTTTCCTCTGTGGGACAGGCATAGCTCCATGACCAGTTTACCCTGCTTGGTTCATTTATTGTTGTTCTGGAACATCCTAAGAATGATACAGGGACCTGAAACAAACACTCTCTTATGACCTCCTAAGAGGGTGACTGCTTTCATTCTGCAAAGCAAGACTTGGAATTCTTCCGGCTTTGAATGGGCTTTGACTTTTAACCCTGATCTTTTCCAAGAAAATATTAACAGATTCTGTTTGAGGGCAGATGCACAGGTGTTTGTAAATAAATGTAAACTGTGTTCAGCCCTGATTGGTTTTTTTCCGCTTCTTTGTGGAAAAAATCATAGTAGCTTTAGTGGTTATTACTTTCATTATTATTTATTTCATTATATTATTTCATCATGTATTTGATGAAAGAAACAGTTCCTCTGGGAAAGAGAAGTTACAACTAATTGGTTGTGTGTGCTTTTGGATCACGTGGTTAATTGTCCTCAGTTGTTTGTTCTAGTTACTGTTTAGTGTAAATGTCAGGGACTGAGCTTGTGTAAAAGAAGATATTACATTGACAGGCCTGTAATTCCAGGAAGCTTATCAGCTTGCTCTTGGTGTTGAGAATTAAATACGTGTATTATAACAAAATCTGTTGCTGGCTACACTTCTGTTATCACTGGGTGGCCTTGCTGCATGAGAGAGAAAACTCAGTTTGAGAGTGGCTGTGCAGATGAGATTCTGATTGCTGCCTGTCCAGATCTGACATCTGTAAAATGTCCAGAATAATTCTGTTTGTGAAGAGTAGTGTGAGGAAGGCACCTTCTCAGAGAAGCCAGAAGGAGCAGGTTTTATTGAACAGAAAGGCAAATTTCTGAGCCTTGATGGAAGTCACAACCCAGGAGCACAGTTTTGGTATGTTAAAAAAAATGCTACTCAATGGTGAAATGTGTTTATGTAGCTATAGTGAGCTGGAATAAAGTAACTTTTATAGATATAACATTTTACCTTATTTATTAGAAATTATGTTTTGCTTTAATAAGAAAAATGTGTTTTTAAAATGTTGTTGGAGAAGAGGTTTTTCTAAAAAGACATGGAAAGAACAAACAGGAGAACATTGTATAAACCAAGTAAATATTAAACTTAGTAAAATCTTGTTTAAAGTCTTACAGTTCAGGTTTTTCAGCTTCTGGCTGAAACTTGATCAATCTTAAAAATGCTGTAACTGAGGTTTTATCAGTTGCGTAAATACAAGGTTGTAAATATCAACAGCAGTTATTTGTATGATATGAAGCTGTACCTTTGCTTTGCTCTAGGTTGGGGTGATCGATTTCTCTGTGTATTTGAAGAGTGATGATGACATTGGGGGTAAAGAAAGGTATGTCCTCACAAAACACCTCCTCTTTCACATGTTAACAAACCATTTCTTGGCTGGGGCCTGTTCTTTTAGAAATAAGTCAGGTTCCCTAAAGATGAAATTTTCTGATCCTGAGAAAAATGCCCCAGTGTGTTGTTCTGTGTTATTAATTAGCTGGAAGAATAATTGCAGTCTGAAGCAAACCTCAGCAGCATCACCCACTGCCTCCAAGTAGTGGAGGCTTGCCAGGTGGCAGCGAAAAGGAGCCTGCAGATCTTTAAGTCCTCAGCTTGGGATTTAGTCAGAGTTCCAAAGAATCAGAGTTATGGCAGAGTAAATAAACATCCTTATCAGACTGTGTATGTTATGTTCCATGTAGAGGAACTGTTTGCAGTTAAAGCATTTAGAGATTTGTGTCTCACTGATATAACAACACATGTCTTGTTGCCTTCATGAGTGTGAGAAGAAGTTGCTTCCTTTCTTTTTAAAAACACAATTGAGATGGACATTTGCCTATGGTAAATACATACATTTTCAGTCCATAGTTTAGTAAATCATTTTGTTAAAGTTAATTTTATCTTGTGCTTGCTTTAGGAATGTACAGATTGCTGCAATATTGGACCAAAAGAATTATGTTGAGGAACTAAACAGGCAACTGAAGTAAGTGTTACTTTGAAGTATGGGTGTCAGGCCAGGCTTACAGGCCTTTTGTAAGCTTTGTGAGAGAACTTCAGAGAAAGAGCTGCAAATTCTCCATGTTTAGACTGAATATTTAGTGAAGTAGGAGCAGACACTCTTCTGGAGAGGCTGAGGAAGTGTCAGTTTTCATGCTTTTGGACAGTCCAAACCTATATTTTCAAAGAAACACAAAACCAACAGGCCAAAGTGATGAAGGTCCTCATGGTTCATAACATCACAGGAGTGAAAAGCTTGGTCTGGATTCTAGCTGTGTTCTATTTAACAGTTTGCCAAAAATGGTTTTGAGTGTTCCAGTGAATCCATATGTTTTTGTTTCTTTGCCTTCCAGAATATTTTAGTTTGTGGCATTAATGAATTAATTGAAACAATAGGAACCACAATTTTTTCAGGAAAGCAGCATTTTCCCCTTTCTTTGCTGGGTGGACCAAACCTAGTTCACCACTGTGTTTGTTACTGTGCAAATAGAAGAACAATTATTTAAATTCTCTGAGGAGTATTGTACAAAATTAAATGATTAATGAGGAGCTACAAATCCCCAACAAAACAAAATCAAACCAAACAGCACCAGAGAGAACTTCTGTAGCATCTGTAGCACAGCTGATCCTGATCCTTTTTGAAATGTAATTATCTTTTAAAACTTTTAATGCTGGTAATCTGGATCACTCATTACTATAAGGCTCCTATTGGAGTAAGGATATTCTGCTTTGAAATGGTGTCACAGCAGAAACCTTCAAAAGCTGAGCACATCAAATAGGAGCAAAATGAAAGTAAAGGAGAAGAAAGGAGCTGTGACAATTAAGAGCAGTGGTGTTTGTGTGATGTCATTATCCAGGTGAGTCTCTGTGTTTGTGCCTAGAATTTCCTGCCACATCAGTGATTCAGCAGCTCTCCTATTTTATTTCAGTTCAGCTGTTTGTGTTTAGACATTCTAAAATGCATTAATCTCTCTGCCCTGCTGTTCCTAATGAACTGGCAACCTCCACAGAGAAATATGTGAAAAAGTAAATGGTGTTACAGAATAGGTTTTCTGTTTCTCTGTGGGTGAAGTGCAGCCTAAGAAAAAGGTGCTTCCTGCAGAAATAGGCAATCAGGTTATGGAAAAGGCCTGGATGTAGTTTGATACTATAAAAAGCATCAGAGTAATAAAAGGCAATAAAACTAGTGAGACTCCTAAATGAAGTCAAGAAGCATCAAGAAAGAGCCTGAGGACAAATCTCAAAAAATGCAGAGCAACAAATGATTTTATGAAAGAAACGTATCTTGGAGGAATAGAATCTGGAGAATGATGGTGTTCTATGGGGAGGAGCTCATTTATCCTTTGGATGCAATGTAGTTGTGAGGATAAAGGAAAGGGAGAGTGCATGGGAAGTTACTGCCAACTGGGAGTTTGTGACAGGGGTGACACTGGGAACTGAAAAGAAGTGTATATATGTTCAACAAAGGAGAGTCATTTTCTTCTGTTTAGGAAATAATGGGAACAGACCTCACAGCTCTTAACCATTAATCACTGTACCTTGCATTAAAGCTTTTGAGCTTGCCTGAATGAGTTTGGATGTAATGTTGAATACCATTGTTTCTTTTTCCCTTTCAGTAGCACAGTTAGCAGTCTACATGCAAGAGTTGACTCACTGGAGAAATCAAACACTAAACTGATTGAAGAGGTACTTTTTTGTTTTAGTAATGTGTAGCATATTGTATTCTCTGAAAGACTGTTTTTCTGAATCTTCTTACATTATTTTAAGCTATGGAAGTTCTATATAATATATTCAGATAGCTTTATTTTGGCCTAAAGAAGAGAGAGGCAGTAGCTGCAGGGATTTGGTAGCCTCTAGCATCAGTACATTAACTCTGTAGAACACTGCAATTTCCAACTTTGGACAAAATGAGAAGAGAATCCTTTCTTAATGCCAGCTGTCAGTCTGATTTGTGCAGATGACTAGTCTAGAATGGCTGACACCAGTTGCTACAAAGAGACAGAAAGTAGTTCACCAAGCAAATTCTGTTCCAGTTCTTAGCTTTAGCCAAAGGATTGTTCCTTGCTTGTTTACTGGTTGCTTACATACAGCTTTTAGACTTGTCTGGTTCTGGGTTGGTGTTTATAGCCTATATTTCTGATTTTCTTTGATACTTGACTAGTTTCCAATATTTTTAGCTTCATAAGAGAGAGCACCTTTTTTAGTTAATGAAGGGGAAAATTGAAAGCTCTAAATTCAGCTGCTGAAGGGACAGCTAGCTCAATCTGGGGATAATGTATCCAGACAGAGTGAAAACATTTTTTCTGAGTGTTAATTCTCAGAGTATTCTGGTTCCTTTGTAAGCCTTCAGCCCAACTGTCCACCTGTTTTGATTTTTTGGCTTATAATTCTGACATTAAGTTATATACTGTAGGGCCCAGTTATAAAATGTCATCTTTTATAAATATGTTTTTCATATGGGAGAGCTTTCTTAGGTAAGCTGCTCCATATGATATATTAAGATGTCCAAAAACGAAAATGAAAACTGGATGAACTTGAAGCCAAGTGGAAAGAACATACATTGGAGCAAAGAAAAGAAAGCACATTCTTCACCAGACATGAAACAGTGAAGTATCCTGAACATGCTGCTGCTGCTGTGTAATGAAAGTGACTCATTATTAAAACCAGGAGCTTCATGCTTCCTTTAAAAACAACTAATCCTCTGTTTGGCAGACAGGGAGAATGGAGCAGAGGATGGCTTGGTCTTGCATTAATCAGAACATTTTTTTATTTCTACCCACAAAAGTGGTCACAGTGCTTCTCTTTTTTTTTTTTTTCTTTTTTTAAAATTTGTTTCTTTTCAGTTAGCAATAGCGAAAAACAATATAATTAAACTTCAGGAAGAGAACCATCAATTAAGGAGTGAAAATACTTTGATTTTAATGAAAACACAGCATCATCTAGAGGTATGTTAGTTTTACCACTTTTGATATTGCAACATAACGTGGTTAATTATTTTTCAAAAGTCTGTACATCTCAACTTCAAGTAAGCTTAACTTGTGCAAATCTGAAACAACTTTAATGAGGGAAAGGCCTTATTAAATCTGTGGAGCTTTCTAAATGGTGTAAGTAAATTAAAATTGTAGGACAGTAGATTGTGCATGTGTAGTGTATTCAAGTGACACCAAAGGAGGACAGTACTTCAGTTTAGATGCTCATTTTGCTGGTTTTACTCAGTTCTCATTATCAAACCAGCAGCCACAGAGCAGAAACAGCTCTTTCCATCTTTGTAGGATGCGTTTGTAGGTTTTTCTTCATACTCCCCACGAGTGTTAAATTTATGTCACTAAACTGCAGAACTCAGGATGAGGAAAGACAGAACCTGTGTATCTTTGCAGGCAGCTAAAGTGGATGTGGAAGCAGAGCTTCAGACGTACAAACACTCGAGGCAGGGCTTGGATGAGATGTACAATGAGGCTCGCAGGCAGCTCCGGGAGGAGGCACAGCTGCGGCAGGTGAGTGTTCCCTGGCACTGCAGAGCACTCACTGCAGCAGTATTTCTGCTTCTGTTGAGTTTCAATGCTGCCTTTCATTTACTTCAGCAGCCTTTTCTCTAAGTGCCTGTGATAAAAAGGGAATTTTTACAGACCATCAATATCTCTATTGTAACATTGCTGTGGAGCAGTAAAAAAGTGACCACCCTTTTCTTTGATAAATTTTTAGGTAAACTTTTAGCAATATTGTAGTCTCTCTAACTATGCTAAATATTTCCTGTGAGAATACAAATTCTTCAGTTCTATTTTTGTAATTAATGCTTAGGGAACTCTGTACAACATTGGCAGGGTAATTTCTTACAAGGTGAGTTGTCTTCTCCCATAGTTAAAAACCCCTACTGGTCAGTGAGTATGTATTTGTTATATACATGTCTTTACATTTATGGATAATTTGCAAAGGTAAAGAGGAGCAGAATTTCTGAAGTGGTAAAATAGGTGGTGCTGCAGCTCTGTTAGAATTCCAAAACAGAAAAAAAAATAAAATATAGTAATTATTATCTGTAATTATTGAAATATCCTTTGTGTTGCATTGTGCTTGTGTTTGATAGGATATGGAGAATGAGCTAGTGGTTCAAGTTAGCATGAAGCATGAGATAGAGCTTGCCATGAAGCTGCTGGAGAAGGATATCCATGAGAAGCAGGACACTCTCATCGGCCTGCGGCAGCAGCTTGATGAGGTTAAAGCAATTAACGTGGAAATGTACCAAAAGCTGCAGGTAAAGGGACAATCTGCTGTCAAACTGTTTTACACAGAGAGAGAAATGCATTCTTACCATTCTGCTCAGTTGAATGCTGCTGTTCCCTGGAGTTTTGATTTCCTTGTGCTTCTTAGGTCAGCTTGACATTCTGGAACATTACCTATGTAAACATGGTTTCATACAGAGGAGTTCTTAAGGCAGTCACTCACTGGATTTAGGGAAGAAAAGAGCATGAGGATAAGCTCATGGCCTGATGATATCTTGTGTGCAATAGAGAGAGTAATAGTGTACTGTAAAAAGGACATTTTTTTGGCCTGTGTTGTATAAAAAAACCAGAAGAATGTAGGCACATAGTTAGGAGTTGAAGAAAAGCCCTGACCTTCCAAAGTAGGGAAAGACAAGAATATGTTAAATAAAAAAAGCTAATTACAGTTTGGGGTTTACTTTTAAATCTGTTAATAGATTAAGAAAATCTCTTAATGAAATGCCTTTTTTTGGGAGAATATGGATCTCAGGGACCCCAAATGCAGTTAACAAATGACCAAATACCAGTGAATTATTTATGCAAAACATGAAGTTGATTTGGGGAATAAATGATGAAAACCAGCACAAGAAACCAGTCTAATCTGTGGCAGAATGAGGAGGAAAAAATTAGTATGCTGCAGAGAGATAATTGAAATGACAAAGGATTCTACTTTGCCCATCTGCTAATGTGAGGAAACTGGACAAGAGGATGAGAAATATAAATAGAGCTGGAGAGAAAAATAAGAGAATGTTCTCCATTGTTAGGATCTTGGAGAGGTTGATTTGTAGGAGAACCTTTGTGATTTTTGTTCTAAGCTCATTGCTCTTCTCTGGTAAGGTTCCAATAGCTGGTCAGTGAAGTTGAGTTCTGAAGGAAACCAAAGGGGAACATTTATAGTTATTAAATATTAAATAGCATCTACACTTGCAAAGTATAAAACTACAAATTTTCTAGGCATAAGATTTTACACACTGTCCTCAAAGGTTTTTAGAAGGCAATCCTTAAAGAGAATCAAAACTTGAAGCCATTTTTAACATTTGCCCCTTCAGATACTGAAGAAAAAGCTCCCATGAGGTAATGGTGCAGTTATACCAATTTCAGTTTTAACCTCTTTTGTGACACAGGTTTCTGAAGATGCTATGAAAGAAAAGAATGAAATAATTAGTCGATTAGAGGATAAGACCAATCAAATTAATGCAACTATGAAACAGCTAGAACAAAGGTACAGCCCCATCTTTGTTTCTCTTCATTCACAGCTCCACCCCTTTGCATCCTACTGCATTCCTACAGTTGCCATTGAAATGTAATTTTCAAGTAGAACATTTAAACCAAACCTTCCTGAGATTTCTAATTAGTGCTTTGTTGTTGGGATGTTTTTATTTTTTTCTGTTTGACAAACACACTCACTTTAAATACAAACTTAATCTTTCAGTTTTCTTCCTCTACCATCTTTCTTCTGGTCCTAGGTTTTTATGCTGATATCAAAAGTTGTTCTTTCAGTTGCTTCAAAATTCCGATTCCTTGTTGCCTCCCCATTTTTTTCCCCACCTGAATGAAATGCAATAGAAACTGAAGCATTAATCTTGCTTATACTTAAGCATATGCTTAATATAAACATTAATGCCTTCAAGGATCACTGGTTGTTTGCTGAAGCTGTTATAATTGTTGTCCATTGCTTTGGAAGTGCCATTGTATTTTCAATGACCTAATGAGTTTTCACACTGAAAGGTTGAAAAGTGAAAGACTAAAATTCCTGAATATAAATTTACGTTATGATTAGACTGCATGTACTACAAAATATTAAGATGTGATTCACACGTTTTAATTTAGTGGCCTTATATGCAACATTGATCTTTCTAATTGTAAAATATAACATATCCATAAGCCCTGTCATGTTGGTGTTTGACATGTCTTTTTTTTCATTTAAATCTGATTATGAAAAACATGCTTATGTATTAAAAAAACTTAGTGACATGAATATTCTTTTATTGACATCCTTTTTTCCTCTTTTTTCTTTTTCTTTTTATCCTTTTATCCCAATTTTTGTTTTTACTGTTTTGCTGCCTTCATCTGTCTTTGGTTTTTGTCCACTGCATTCATGAAGTGACAAAGATCTGTTAACTCAAACTAGGACTATTGCAATGTCATTCGTCAAATGTGCCAGCAATGAGGCTCAGCACCAGTATAAACTTGTCAAGGATATATCATTCTGAAAGCTCCTCCAGATCTCTTGTGTTGAAATAATTGCTGATAAAATAGGACTTGAGAATTTTCCAATTAAAACTTGAAAGTGGTATTAGAAATCCTGCACTGTAACTGATCGTAGCTGGGTTCTGTTTTGTTTTCTGAAAGAACATCATCTCCGATCTCACTTTACCCCTCCTTAAAAAAAAACAGAGAGAGAAAAAAAAAAGTAAATTATTGCACTATTATTGCAAATGTAAGCTAGTTTTCTAATGTTATTGAATCACTTCTTTGTCAAATTTTATTTTAAGAGGTTAGATATGTTTACTTTGACTGTACATTTTTATGGCACTTGTTTCTAATTAGTGATTTTTCCCATTCTTTGGTACTCAGAGATTTAAAAAGTAGCCCTTCTGGCTAATACTTCCCTTCTCCCCTGCTTATTCCTTTTACTTTTAGGCTGTATTGATCCCAAAAGCATGCTCTCTGTTGGGTTTTGTGGTTGTACCTAGCACTTCAATCAGAGTGGCAGGAGTTGGAGGGAGGGAGCTGAGCTCTCCGAAGGATGGGTGTAAGGAAAGGGGCTGGTGCCACCCTCCGTGTCCTGTGTGTGCAGGGAAGGGCTGACAGCCTTTGGGCATCCAACAGCTACAGCACAGTCCCACCTCCCTGCTGCCACCTGGCGTAAAATATTCTCCTGGAGTCAAAATGTGCTTGGAGCCTGATTGCTGAGGGACTCCAGGCATGTTCTGTAGCTGTGGCTCCTGCCTAGCACAGCTGCCCTGGGAGGTGGAGCAGTGAGCAGGATTTAGTTTGGGCCCAGCTCCTGAACCTGCCCAACCCGTTTGGCAGCTGAGGATCTTGCCTGGCTGTGTGTGCTGAGATCAACACCCCTGGCTCTGCCCAAACCCTTTTCCCTCCCTCCACCCATCATTGGAGCCTTTACAGCTCCTGTTTCTGCTGTGAGCTGCTGCTTGCCTGCGCTGCAGAAAGAGGAGTTTGGGCTGCTGGCTTCTCTTAATACACTCCCTGATGTTTGCTCTGAAGCTGGTAGTGGAAGTTGGCTGGGAAAATGATCTTAGAGTTTTGCAGCAGAAGGGGATGTGTTTGAAAAAGTGGGGACAGGATGCAATAATACAGAAAGGGTTTCTACTGCATGGTTATAGAGTAGCTTATTCCTTGGTTTGGAAGCAGAGGGAGCCTTTACCATGAGCTGGCTACTGAAAAATACAAATTAATATCTTTCATCTCGAAAGAAAACCCAAACCAGAAACACTGAATAGAGCAACGTGAAGGCCATGGCAGAAATGGGAGCCTTATCCACCTCACTATGCAAACAAGTATCTGCCACAGCATCACCTGAATGCCAAGTCCAGCTGCACACTGGGGCCAGCTCAGCATCTGCCTGAATTCCAGCAGCTCAGCCAGCCCTGGTGCTGGGCTGGGGATGATGCTGCGGCTTTGGGGTAGCAAGCTCCCGTTCTGCCTTGCTTGTGGAAACAACTCTGCAGTTGATTTTGTGATTTAGGAAAAGCTTTAAAATGCTTTTGGTGTTGCAGAGGGGAGGGTGACCTGCTTTTTCCCAGTATTCTCCTTCCCATGGCTCTGCCCTCTGTGCACTACCATTGTAGGTGTGACTGGGAGCACTCTTCAAGCCCCTGGGATAGCTGAGTGTGACAGTGCACCCTTGATAAGGTAGTTTAACTCCAGCCTTGTTTGCTGGCAGCTTTTGGAAACTCCCTCTGCTGCAACCTCATCAGCAGAAGCACAAACACAGACATATTGCTGACACATCCTCTTTTTAGCTGACACTGGGAGCTGGGAGTTGGTCTGTGTTCAGTGAGCTGCTGGGAAGGGAGAAATCAACCATCTCACTGATTTCTCCCAGCACCTCCCCTGAGACAGTTTTGCAGACCACAGTGCATCAGGTGGGGGCATTCATTGGGATTTTACAGGCTCTTGTATTCTCCAGACAGGTGGAACCACAATATAGCACAAATCCCCTTCTAGTGCACTTTTGTTACAATGCATCCACCAGAGAGGAACCACAGTGAACTAATGCATTCCAAGGGGACTGTCAGCTGAACAAAGCTGAAATTCAGAAAGAGGAGATTAAATCAAATAACAACCCCTCATTTCTTGATTCATCACTTTGATTTGTCTATAGTACGGAGCTATTTTAACCAGTGTAAGAATGCATTATTTTTAATACAGACTCTCTAAATTAATTATGATGTAGTTGAGGTAGTTCTATAAATGTAGTGGGACCTGTCAGGGTGTATTTTGTTGTATTAGGCTAGTCAAGTTTTTCGCTGTCTGATTGCAGTGCTCTGTATGCAACCTTACGCCTCAGTTGTTTTGAGCTGCTTTTGCACAACAAATGCTCTCCCCTGTCTTAATGGGTGATCAGTGCAAGCCAAGTACTTCTACAGAATTTACTTGGGGGAAAAAAAAGAGCTTCAGAAATAACACATGAACGTATTGTGGCTAAAGGACAAAGAAAAGCATCAGGTTAAATGCTTTGATTCTAAAATATGTATCATGCTTTGGCACCTGTTATTCATGAGCATAAAATAAAGCAATTATTACTTACAGTGATTACTCTCTTACTGTATGCCAACCCAGGAGCTAAGTTCTCTAGGCATTGTATGGATTTCTCGTTTGAGTTTGTGAGTTTCCCCCAAACTTTGTTTTTATTTAGAAATGTTTCTATTTCCCCATTTTTCTTTTATTTGTCTTCTTCACCCTCTACACCCTAGTTCTAGCTTCAGTTTTACCCAAAGTTGATTTGAATTACACCAGATTGCAGCAAGCAGAGAAGGCTCAAATGGAGGCTGAGGCTGAGGATGAGAAACTTAAACAGGAATATGTGAATAAATCTGAAAGCCTGCAGAAAGAATTCTCCCAGAAGGAGAAACAGCTGTGAGTATTTCTTTCCTGTTTGGAAAAATGCACTGCAGCGAGCATTCCACATTGCAATATGTCCTCTGTCCCAATACAGGCTGCTTGTTGTTAAATGGATTTGAACAGAATGTAAATACTAAAGATCATCCTGTCAGGTACTGGCAAGGCAGAAGAAAATATGTCGTTCCAAGGAAACCAAGCTGGATTTGGGTGCCTCTAAAATGACATTCAGCTTGAAAGGAAGGGGAAGAACAGCATTATTTCTTGGCTAAAAGTGCCAGCTTAATTCAGGAGGAAATTATCCTAAGTGGGGGAAAATATGTAGTGGAGTAGTGGTAAAAGACACTTTTAACAAAGCCCACGAGGATGGAGTAGGGTAAACTTAAATAGAAATGGCACAACTATGGTTTGATTGATCCAACTTAAGGATGAGGCAGAAGTGGTTTAACTACCACTGCACAGGAAATAAAAAGTGAAAATCCAGTGGAGCCATAAAAGTTAAAGGCTAATGTAAAAGCCAGCCCTCTAGTCTTTCTCCTGTTACATCCTTCAGTGCTAATTTAAATCAGTATGTAACATCAGAAGCTCCCTGTAAGAACAGGTGTTTTCCCTCTTTGGGAAGATAAAAAGTCAGTTATTTACGTAAATCCTTGGCACAAAGATTGGGGCTTAAAAATTAGTGATTTCCAATCCAGTTCTTAGCCCACCCCTGCCTCTCTCAAAACTCTGAATGTTGATCCACTTGTTCAACTGCAATGACAAATGTTCGCTTTACTACCACAGTCACCTCTGCAGATTTGGGCAAAAGAACAGTTCAGACCCCAGCCTTAGAATTCTGCAATTCTGAAACCTCCAGGTCATGTTCACTTCTTTTCCAGCCAGATGCTGAGGTAGTGTCCCAAAATGTAAGTCTTTCCTTTAAAAGTGGGTTTGGTTTTAAAACAGGAAAATTAATGTGGATGTAGGTTTCCCATCAAAAGGGATCAAAAGACCCTGCATGAATACTCTCAGATTTCTTTTTTTCCTCTTTTGCTGTGTTGGCACAATTTAGATGTAGAAGGTGTGCTTTCCACCCTTTGGTTTCTCCATAACTTTCTAAACACCAACTCTTCCATGAAAGCAATAGTAAAATTCCAGCTAGAATGGGTCTTCTATCAGAGTAGCCCTGATCCTGAAGTTCAGTTAAGCAAATAGAATCCATATCCCTCTTCATGCTGCACCTCAGCTGTGTAGAAAGCTCAATAAAAAATAGCTATTTAAAGTCCTTCCTCCTTTATTTTCAGTTCTGTTCAAAATGCCATAAACCTTAGTCTAAAATAGAAGATTCACATCCAAGGGTATAAAATTAAATACATTTTATGGTATCAGAGATACTTGCAATGATTGTCTGCATCACCAATGGCACTGTGGCTGGTAGGTTTGGTTTATTTTAGAAACAAGCTGTATGAAGTTAAGGGTCTTTGCCTCATGCATGTTGTAAAAATAATTTAGAATTTTGTGGTTAGTCTTCTCTTATTTATTTCAAAGGCCAGCTCTTCAAAATTATGCCATATTCCTGGTTCTTTAAATAGATTTGCTCTGAAAAGCATTTTCTAAGTGACTGTGCTTTGTTTATTACACTGATACCTAAAATATCATTATATTGACACATTCTTTCTGTTTTAGAAAACATGTAAATTAATAGCTTATTATGATAATAGTCTATCCCACTCAGAAATAAACTCAGTTTTGTTTTTAAAAGCAATACTGTTGTGCACAGTGATGTTTGTTTTGTTTTGTTCTCCCTGTTGTAGACTTCAGCTGGAAACAGATCTGAAGATAGAAAAAGAGTGGCGGCAAACCCTAGAGGATGATCTTCAAAAGGAAAAGGAAACTGTATCTCATCTGAGAACAGAGACCCAAGAAATAGTTAACCTTAAGAAAGTAAATTCTGCAGCAAACTTTGACTAGCAATTTAGAAATTGACTGCAAAGTTAGTTATGGACTTAGACATGATATTTTAAAGAATTTTTGCCAATATATAAGAAAGATTAAATGAATGCATTCTCATAAATAAGATGAGGGAAAAAAAATGGGCTTTTTACACCCCATTTAGTCCTCAGATCACTACTTTTGATAAGGAAAAATTAAATCCTTGTTTTCCCTTCTCAGCTGTGTTGAAGGCTCTGTCATCTGACTATAGGCCAGACCCATGGCTCTCCAGTCAGTCAGGTTTATTTATCTTCTCCCTGGAGTGGGCTACAGAGGCAGAAAGGTTTCTTTATCTCTTGGGGTCTGAGAGAGTTTAATCCTGAGCAGTTGCTGTTCAGGGTGGGTTTGGAGGGAGTGTGAGGGATCACTCGTGCCCTTGGCTTTCTCAGCAAGATCAGCTTCAGTAGGAGCAGCTTTCTAGGCAGTAGAGCAAACACAAGCTGAGAATAGTCTGGTTTCATTTTATTTTGTTTGTTTTGTTTTAAGGAGTTCCTGAAACTTCAGGAGAAGAACAAGCACCTGAAAAGCATATGTGAGGACCAGGAAGCTGCTCTCCAGGAACTGGCATCTAAGCTGAGCGAGTAATTTCATTATTCATGATGACTTATACATATTATTTTTGTCATATGCACTTAAGAAAAATAGCAGGACAGTGGTAAAGCATATTAGACAGTATATGACATTATGATGATGATGATGATAGCTAACCAGTTATCAGAAATCAATGTGTCTAGTTAGGTCTGGCCTGTTAATTTTTATTTTTGGCTGGTGGGGTGGCTGTGAGCTCTTGGGTAAAGACAGTGCTGTGAACTGAAAATCCTGGTTTGAAGGGCATTGGGCTTTGTTCTGCAGTGAAAACAGCTGCCTGGTTGGCCAGCTCTGGCATCCCAGAGGAGCCTCAAGGAGGAGGGAACAGCTCTGGCTCCAGCAGGGCAGTGCTGCTCCTCCTGAGCCCCAGGCAGACACCAAGCCCCACACATCTGCTCACTCACCTCCCCACCACTGGGATCAGGGAGAGAATTGGAGAGGCAGAAGCTGGAAAACTCATTGAGGCTTGAGATAAAGACAGCTTACTAGAGAAAAGAAAAGCCACACATGCAAGCAAAGCAAAACAAGAATTAATTCACTGCTGCCCATGGTTGGGCAGGTGTTCAACCATCCCCAGGAGAGCAGGGCCCATCACGTGGAATGGTGCCTTGGGAAGGCAAAACTCCATCACTGCAAATGCCCCCCTTCGTTCCTTCTTTCCCCCAGCCTAGACACTGAGCATGATGCCATTGCTCTGGAATATCCCTCTGCTCCTCTGTCCTGGCTGTGGCTCCTCACTTCCCATCGCTCCCATCACCTCCCCAGCGTGGCCCTACAGGGAGCAGGAAAGGCCTTGGCCTTTCCTTGGCCGTGAGCCCTGCTCATGATTGTTCCGTGGTGCTGAAGATTCATTTCATGATCTCTCGTAGTTTTGCTGTGATTTATGTGGCCTCTGATGGAATAACTCTGTGTGTGTCTCCTGTGACTCAGGTCTTGGTGGGTTGGCACTGGATGGCTGTGGGGAGGCTGCTTCCTCCCAAATGACATGTGGTTTTGTACTCTTGTTCAGAGGGCTTGGCTAAAATTTTTTGAAGCACCTAAATCAGATTTTTAAGTTGTTAGAGCATAACTGACCGTGTAGAAGTTTGAAGTAGCATTATCTTGTTCTTATTCAGATCAAAGCTGAAAATAGAAGATATAAAAGAAGCAAACAAGGCATTACAGGTCAGTAACATTTTGAGAAAAAAAACTTCTTTTTTAACTGTTCTTTTTGAAATCTTTCATAAGCATGAGAAGACTTCCTCTCCAACAAGAGAGACTCACTGTATGATTTCCTCCAGTGGCAGAGAACCACAGACTCCCTGTAACCCCCTTGGAAAAAATCCATTTGCTTTTGTTTTTCCTTGTCTGATGCACAGCTGTGCATTTTGGCCCTTTTCTTGCAATGGTATAATTTACAGAGTGTATCTGGGACAGAACGTGAAGCCAACTGAGCTTCAGCTTCTCAGTGATCAATAAATATTTGATCATCCTGGGAAATAAATAAACTTGTAGCACCAAAGCTGATAAAATACGATGTGTAATGTCAGCAGGTTTGGGACTTTCTTAGAGACAGCAGGCAGCACTTGAGAGCAGAGGTTTTGTCTGCAAATGTTTGATCATCTGGTGTGTCACCTGGCATATTACTGCAGGCCAGGTATAAGTGAAAGGTGAAAGAGCAGACTTCTGGGTTTGTTAAGTGGTTTAAACAGAAGGAAATGGACAATTCTTGACACTGTCCTGGGTTTTTTTCTTTGCTTCCCTGCATCTTGAGGACTGTTCCCATGTGAGGAGCAGGGAATTTGGCTTCACTCTGAGGCTTGGATGCCTTTCTGCTCTTCCAGCTGAGCCACTGCCCAGCTTTAGCACCTTGAGCACGTTCTCTCTGCACTTCTGCTCTGTCTTGTCCCCTCAGGTTTTGCACTTTTGGAGCAGTCCTGTGCTGCTTCAGTGTCTTTGTGACATCATGCTGGTCCCAGGGCACTGAGCAAAATGTTCTACTCTTGGTTTTTCTTGTCCTCTAGAGCTCAAAGTTTAACTTGATCAGATACATATAATTATGATAATTTTTTCTCCAGGGCCAGGTTTGGTTGAAGGACAAAGAGGCCACTCATTGCAAGCTGTGTGAAAAGGAATTTTCTCTTTCCAAAAG